AAAAAAAAAAAAAAAAAGGTGCGGCAGTGTTTATTTCCATGTTCTAGCCGTAGACTCGTTCGATTTTGCTCATTCTATCGACGGAAGTACCATGGCCAGCGGCGAGGTTCGAGACTCTCTCTCTCTCTCTCTCTCTCTCTCTCTCTCTCTCTCTCTCTCTCTCTCTCTCTCTTTCTCTCTCTCTCTCTCTGTGTGTCATACACACACACACAAAAAAAAAAGCCCCAGAAGCACCCCTCCCAGGGCCAGGTTGTGAGGTTGCATAAGGGGGAGGTGTGCGAGAGATAGCGAGAGAGAGAGAGAGGGAGTCTCCTTTTTTTGGGGGGGGGGGCAGGGGATTATCCAAATACCCCCACAAGTTCAGATATATGTCAAAATGTCCCTATAAAATATGGGCACAGTGGAATGGCCGTTTGGGCTGACATATTTGTGTTATGCCCCTGTCAGGCAGGTAGGCAAATACGCTTGGCCTTTTGCAATTGCACCTACGAAAACTTGGCAACTGCCGGGGCATTTTGCAAAGTTGGGCCGCATCCGGTAGGGGTACATTGCAAAGATGGGGTCCAACTGATGGCTGGGGTGTTTCGCAAAATGTTTTAGTCATCATCCTTCGCCGCAGCATAGCTGCGGCAGGTCCACTTGTCTTTAAAGAAAAACGAGGGAGCAGATCTAGCCACAGTAGGTGGCTAGATCTGTCCACTTCGATCTTTGGCACAAACAGAGAGAGTCCAGCCCCTTACCGTTGCGCGACAGAGTGACGCTGGCAGGCGGCGCAAGGTAGAGTGGTGGCAGCATTGCTGGAGTCGTCGTGGGCATGTCTGCATCGGCGCACAGAGAGAGAGAGAGAGAGAGAGAGAGAGAGAGAGAGAGAGAGAGAGAGAGAGAGAGAGAGAGAGAGGTGGTGGCATTGGTGGAGGTGCCGTGGGCAAGCTGCATCGGCAGAGAGAGAGAGGGAGTGGGGAGGGTGTAAGGAACTGGCACGGGCGGGTGCAGGTGGGTGCGGGGTGCAAAAAATTAGGTTTCGGGTGCAGGCTGGTAATGATGTTCTCAAGGGTGCGGGTGGGTCTGGGTGAGGACGTTTTGGGGTGGCAGGTGGGTCAGGCGCGGGGTTGAAATTTCAAAAGATATTTTGGGTGGGTGGGGTCGTCTAGAGGTGGAAATGATAATTCTTGGGTCGGGTGGGCGGTACAAATAAAAAATTGGGCAGGTTGGGTCACGGGTGAGGAAAAAAAGAAAATGCCCACCTCTGCGGCGGGGGGAATGGGGACCATTGGTCACAGGCAGAAGATGCTTAACACCCATCTTGAGCCAGAGGATCTGTACTGGGGTTCAGAAGATGGTTGACAACTTTACACGCATTAGACGCACATGGGTTGAGAGACGAGGAGAGGGAGTCTCAACAAGGGTTGCAAGGCGCATTCGACAAACATAAGCAGAGGCATTTGCCGGTGTGGCAAGGTGGTCGATTTGGGGAGGGAGAAGTCTTAGTGCGATCAGAAGATGCTCAACACATTTTCTGGGGCTAGGAGGGTGGAGGAGGGTGCGTGGATAGTAGCTACAGGATGCATTCCGCACATGTGTGTTTGTGCGTGTGTGTTTGGGGGG